TGACTTTTTATGTACTAAATAATTAAATGGTTCTCATTTAAATTCATGTTCTTTTATAATCATTGTGATTGAATTGATTAATTGTGATCCATATCGATCTATTCAAAGCAGAAAGATAATATTGATTTTTTAAAAAACCTTACAGGTTTCTAAAATAAAAGTCTAATTCTCTTTTTAAAATTGTCAAACCATCTATCCTTCTGCATTCAATAATCCAGAGATTTTAGATTCTACATACTGTTCCCTGCTGACAAAGCAGGTAACAACATTGTCTTCGTTTGTAAGGCTTATTATGTAAATTGTATTTTAGAAAAACTTGGTTTTAATTCTATAAGTGGCAATCCTTCTTACAATCATCGTTCCCTTTCTTAAGATGAAATTCTTCAAAATCATGTCAGTTTTGAATACTATATACAGGGTTATTTTCGCCCCGTGTTAGTTTCACCCTTTTGCATTTGTGATCTATTTTGCCCCGTTTTAAATTCGCCCAGTCATAGTTTTGTTTAAGAAATTATACAGTATACTTTGAATTCGCCCTGTTTTAAGTTCGCCCAAGCTAGAGTAGGGCTAAAGGGGCGAAAATTAATCAGAGGCAAAAATTTCCCTGTATACAGTATATTTTTCATATTCCAAAGAACCAAAATGAATTTGAACAACCATATATATATTGGATTCCGAAATTTCATAAGAATCCTTACAAACAAATATATACATAGCTGGTTCCAGTAAATGTTCAACCAAGCCTCTTTCTTTACCCCTCACTAAGATATTAACAGTAGTGAAGGAGAAACTTCAAGAGTACTGTGCAAAAATATATTCAAGAAGTGGTGTAAATCAGATGTGGATACTTAAAAATTCCAAGAAACTTTTTGACAATTTGAAATCACAAGATTTTACCAAAACCAACAGCTTAAAAACTTACGACTTTTAAACTTTATACAGAACCATTCCCCATGAAAAATTAAAGTCCAGGCTTTACAAGTCCAGAGAGAAAAACAAGTTTGATATTTGATATTTCGTCAATAGATAATTCTAGTACTCCAGGGTACTATGAGCCAAACATTGGCCGACTGACAGACGCATTTTGGTTACTGTGTAATTCAATCTTTCGTGCACAATTAAATATTAAATTCAAATTTCAAAGATTGGACTCATGTAACACATTGTGTTATTCCTCCTCGGCACCAGATCTCACTTCTGAAGTCTCCAGAGCTCCCTGTCTTTGCCCGGTGTTCACCTTTCGTGTTGTTTATAGATTTATAAGATTGATCAGAGTTCTTTGTCTTCAACTCACTTCTCTTATATTTACTGCCTATAGTTTAACTTACCACAGTTTTTACTTTCTCACCATCAATCCGAACATGAAGGTTATAACGGGCCAAAACAGAAATACAAAGAAAGGTGATTAGAGAATAATATAACGTATGGAAATCAAATGCATTGGATTAAAACATAGTATGATTAACGAGCAATGCAACAGTAGTAATTTTCAATTCAACATAAGTTGTGTTGAAGAAGAAATACAGTAAGAATTAATTATGTAATCTAAAATACTTGCAAAATAATATTTCAATCCAAATACAATTTATACTAGTAAACCAATTTCTAATTGACTTCAAAAAAAATAATCATTAAGTTTTCCTAGCAACCAACCCAAGACTTATATTACTTTGAAATAGACCCGGGGTAACTTTCTAAAAGTTATTATAAGGTTATTAAAATTTTAAATTGATATTGAGCTTAACCTTGTTATTTTATCCATAATAGAAGAATTTATTTCTGATTTAACATATAGTACTATATAAAAATTTCGTTTCTATCTTCTTAAACTTGAGTAAACATATCTGATGTAAATTATAAAAGTTCTTCAAAATAAAAATTAAGAAAACACTTTGTACTTGACGTTGTGGGATTTGTTTCTCTAGAACGATTAATTCTTGAATTAGTTACACAAAGATTGGAACCAACATTAATAAAGAAAATGAAAAGACTTGAAACAAAAAAGATCTGATATCGTGAATGCTAAATAGATTTTTCTCGTCTTTTCACCCAACTGTGATATCCCAGCACTTTTAAATCCTCAGAAATTAGTTCATCTTTGGGAACTATGATAAAAACGCTTGTTTGAAACATTTGATAGCGCCAATTTTGACTAAAATTAATTAAAAAAATTAAATTATGTCGTAAACGAACGTAATGAACTTTACGTATAATATCTTATTTATTCAGCACTTCTTCGAATGACCTTGTAAGATAATAATATTAAGCTTACGAGATACTAAAACAATACAAACTGTGGCAGAGCAAACACGTACCTATAAAATCATCAGAGGTTGGATAAGGTGCTAGAAGAGTAAGCATTCTGTGTCCACCGGTCAAATCTGCTGAGTGTTTCTTGCCATGACTGAGTGAACGGAATCATAACCGTCTGATACTTTGTGTGAAAAACATCAGGAAACTTTATTAATTGTATTCTCAAACAGAGCCATTGTGTTGACCAGAGGATTGTCAAAATGTTGACTGTAAAGGATACAGTTGATATCTTTGTCTCATTAACTTATTTGACAATAGCTTGTCTCATTTTAGAAATTGTTAGTGTGCAAAACATCACGATGCTCTTTCATATCAAATCAACTATAAGACTACTCATGCCGTTGATGATTGTATATAGCTACACAAATAAGAAATGTTGAACAATTTAATAGTATCCACTTCACCTGCATAAAAGTAGATCACAGCGCGAAATTAATGCGATACTTAAAAAGTATGCTCTGAGTACGCACGATCAAATTTGAACTGAGGCGAGTCACTGACAAATATATGTGATTTTCTACAGGGATTTCAACAATCTCGTTTATAGTCAGCATTTCGAAAATTCTACTGTCGTTATAATGATCTTTTTAGCACATATAACCTATCACCGGGTGTTTTTTGTTTTTGTTTTTGTTCTTTTTTTGTTTGTTTGTTTGGGTTTGTTTGTTTGATTGTTTGTTTTTTGTTTTTTTTTATTTTGTTTTTGTTTTTTTTTTTTTTTGTTTTTTTTTTTTTTGTTTTTTTTTTTTTTTTTTTTTTTTTTTTTTTTTTTTTTTTTTTTTTTTTTTGGCTGACTTGGCTCATACAAATTGTTTAGCCATCAACTTTTTTAATGTTTTCATTTATAATGAATTTGGCTTCGGAATGTTCTGTCCGTCTGACCTATACACGACGGGTGTGAAAAGGGATGCTTACCCTTTTAAATTGTTTATAGATTTTTGAAATCTAACAGTTTTATTAATCTACGCTATTTTCACGTCAAAAAGTTTATTATTGTAAACCCTGAAATCAAAACACACTTGATCATTTTAACAATTTAACTTTTTACATGTATATTTAATTTTTATATTTCTTTACAGATAATTTACACAATTCTTTGAATATAGAGTGAAAACTACCTTTTCTTTTGTGGATTACAAAAGTGTCAAAGTAAGGCAAATTTTCCCAAATACTGCACGTAGAGTCAACCTGAAGCGGTCCAAATCTTTCTTAACGATCATTCCTTTCTGGTATTTCTTAATGACAGACGGTGGAAATTTAGACATAGCAGCAGCTTCATCTTAATTACTACTGCTATCAGTCAGAAAAATAGATAAAAAGATGTAAAATCATCACTCCTGCTAACTTTAGTTACTGAGTTATTAATTTTCTCTGTCAAAAATCTATGAGAAAAAATACTTACTGTATACAGATCTCAGATTCAGATTCAAAGAAATATACTTAAGATTTTTTTCACATTAATTTTTCTCAATATGTTATTGACAAAGAGCAAGAGCCATCTTATGCATAAAATGGCCCTGTACTGATATCAATTAATTAACTATCACCCTTTTTCCATTTCCATATATCAAAATAAAGTAGACACTTGGTGCTTTCATGTTCTATTGAAATTTTCAAATATTTGAGAACAGGCTTTGAGAAATTGTAATGTTTTTGAAATTTGCAGAAAATCTATTTGACTACCTTCAACAAAGAATTAGAATATGAGCACAGCCCACGATCCAAAAAATAAGACATGTTTTTTAATCTTCAGAAATAGACCTTTCAATATGTATTGGCATAATCAGAGGTTGTGCTCTATATGAAATATTGAAAAAACGCTTCAAGTTTAGGTCATTTTCAAAGGAATTTACAGGATATGAGGAAAATACATTTTATGACGTCATAATGCATTGACTAGATGTGAAATTTTTTTTCACAGTCCAAGTGATAAATTTTTCTAAATAGCGGTTTTGAATTTTCAGAAATTCAGGGAGCCCAAAAATTTATGATTGGTCAAGCAAAGAAAAGAATAAATCACTTTAATTTTACAAGCAATTACGTGGTCCAACGCATCAAGTCCCACAAAAATCAAGTAAATACTAAAAAAAAAAAATTATGGTTAATTTCTATGGTCGATACAATGACCTTATCAGCAAATACTATTTGTCATTGAGTCAAATGCTGACTGATGTTTTTCATACCAATTGTTAATCCATTATTTTTACACTGAATTGACGACGTATTTTTCCGTTATTTCACATCATGAAAATGAGCATACGGCGGGTGTGACCGGTCAGCAGGGGATGCTTACTCCTCCATGGCACCTGATCCCACCTCTGATGTTTTAGAGGACTGTGTGTGCTCTGCTCCTACTTTGTATTGTTTTATGGACTTTGATATTGAATACTGTTTGTTTTTTCCATATCCTTCTTCTGTTGTTTTCGTGGTACATTTGTATGAACATCCCCATGGAATCAAATCCTCCACAAAAAGTTAAAACTTTAAATTACAGTACCCTGTCTTTTCTGAAACCATGAAATCAAATTCTCATATTTTTCTACAAAGCACGAAAATGTGGCCCCAAGGTAATTTTTTTTCAGCAGGTTTTGAGGTATTTCTTTAACCTTTTGTCGTTTAATTTTTATTAAAACCAAACGTTTGTCTTGTTTTATACTCAGTATATAAGTAAAGAAACAAAGTCTTGATGGCCGGTTTCTATTTTTATTCAGCACTATACGGTTCTGATAATTAAATAAAAACAGCATTACAAATTATTCTACATTTAATGAGCCATCAAAGTTATACACTTAACGTTCAATGAATATTTTTTAAAGATGAGTTGGATCATAAATGTTTTAAAAGAGTGATCGGATTCAATAAAATATGTCGATAATTAATGAGAACTTTCCATAGGAATGAACGTATTTAAAAAATTGTAAAACATAAATTATTAGCTTTGTTAAGATATATTTATCGTGCAGAAGAAGGTGATTAAAGCCGCTGTTTCAGCTACGATTAACTTTTCAAATGTAATTGTTTTTATCAAGTACTTATGTCTACTTTAATAAGTGAGTACAATTTGAATGTGAAGTGAATGTAATGTGAACATGATGTGATAATGAGGGACCTGGTATCACATTATATTCAACATGTAAAAGGCAAAGAGAAAGTGTCATTAAAAGTATGTTAATTCTAACTATCAGTGCCGTTATAAAATAATTTCTTTTAATGCGTTTAGAACTTTTAAGCATTATGCTTGATATGATTACTTTTTTAAGTGTTAAATAGTATGCGATAGATGATTTTGAAATATTAAAAAGTTGAGAGCATACTTCCAGAAAAAAAACTTTAAATGACTCTCTATGATATCAAAATATTATGCAAATTTAGTCTTTGCAGGAAGAAAGCAAAATGGCCTGCGCTTGTTCGGCCCTTATAATTAAGGACTTTTAATGAGCCTTTTGGTAACACTGGGCCACACAGTTGTCGTTGATGTTGAGAGAGTTGACCATTTCATCCCTATCGTTGTCAACGTCACTGAAAATATGTCCACTATGGCCCTCGATGTCGAAAAACATGTCTACATCATATCCCTTATCCGATATGTAGGCCTACAAAAGTAAATATATTAATAAGTTCCAAAAAAATTGATATTTGTAAAAAATCATTTTTTTTTTCCTTTTTAAGATTTCTTACCAATATAAGTTTATTTCTGATTCATGATAAAGAAAATAACAATCTGATTTAAATCAGATCCTCGATCCGCTCCTTTATTTTTTTAATGTTGTGTAAAGACAATAAAGTAAAAATAAAGAAACGAATCGAGGATCTAATTTAAACCGATCTCAGAAAAAAAGGTGTCTCAGGATGCAAGGACACTAGTTTATTCAATCTTTCCATTTAAAAAAAAAGGCCTTAAAAAATTTTAATTGCATTCCCATGATCAATTTTAAAAAAAAAAGAATTAAGTAACGATCTTTTGTGCATACGTTGGAGCATTGCTTGACTGGAAAAATTTTAAGCACTATGCTATCCTCTCTTTCCTATAAAGCCATTGTTTTTGCATACGTTGAAGCACTGCTTATTCAAATAAAGTTATTTTTAAGTTTAGAGCAAAAATATTCAGGTATTCGAACACTTATTTAGGTAGGCTGCTTCTATCGATTATTTAGATTTTCCTTTAACACTCTCCTCAAATGCAGAGTTAAGATAAAATACACTAGTCAATGGCCTAATGAAATGAAATTTTACAACCGTTAAATTTCCTTCGAAATAAATATGAACTTTTGTGGCATTCTATCATCTACAATCTACATTTAATGAAAGATATAGATATCTGCGTGGTAAGTGCATATAGTAAAAATAGAGACACAAACAGATTTTAAAGGGAGATTTAGAGAAATCGGAGAATCAATGTTATTTCCAGGAGAGGAAAAAGAAATAATCTCTTTGATTTTGCATTTTAAGAACTAATAATCAATAACGTGGATTGTAAATGAAAGATAAATAGGGAGAAATAAAAAAAACATCAACATTATATAATTGCATAGATGCATACATTCTCATCATCATCATCATCATAATCATTTTATGTATAATTATTATTATAATGATAATCATTATTATTACATTAAACTTTTTTTTTTCTACTATCGCCTCAGGATAAAATCTTTGGCTCGGTAGGTAAGTTGGTAAAATTTTGGGCAAAAAAATTTCAAATCAATACTGAATTTTCAAAATTTACGTTATGTAAGCATAACGTTTTGAGTATAAGACAATTTTAGTCAGTCGATCGGGAGAGGACAACCAAACAATATGAAGGTGACCTTATTATAACTGTATAATTAAATGTTTTCATTTCCAGTATAAATTTACTAGTCTTAAACAATAATTTTACTACAAGTCTTTTTACTAATACTAGTCCTTTTTACAAACTGCATTATAGATGAACTTTGATTCCATAGCTGGTTATGCAACAAATTCCTACAGTTGGCTTTCAATTGATCAAATTCTTTACAATCAAGCTTCAGTTTTATGTACATGTATATTCACACTTTGTACGATTACTGCTATTTGAATTTAAAGAATGCAATTGGTATCGACCAAATAAAATGATGAAATTATTTGTTTTGAATGTAATCCAACAGCTTACTAGTAAAAAGTCAATAATATCCAGGTTATTCGATAAATAAATTGTTTCAATGCCTTTTTTAAAGAATACGTTTGCCTTTTACAAAGTCCAAGTTAATAAAACACATTTAAAAAATTAATAAATGCCATTGATGATTGTGAAATTTCTCCTAGCACGCGAAAAAAACTATAATATTTACTTGACCTTAAAATTTAAGCTTCTGATATGCATTATAAGAAGACTCGCTTTCCTGTAAGATCTGCTGATTTGATATCTGTTTTGGTTACTGTTACGGTAATCGTGAAATTCAAAACATACTCGAAAGAGGCTTACCGTGGGTATATTTATTATACAAATATATCGAGGATATTTCATAAATTAAAAAAAATATTTATTCGTATTCACATATCAAATCGGTATATCACAGTGAATTCTAAATAAGAGATACCCCAAAGTCTGCCACATCTGCCTCATAATGTTAATGATTGTTAAACATGATGTTTATTGCAATTCAAAACGATTAATCATTTCCAAAACAAAATACAAATAGTACAATTCAATTGGCAGGGTATAAAACACATACCTCTGGAAATTTCAGAGGTCAGACTAAGTGCCTTAGAAAAGAAAGCATCCCCTGCTGGCGGGACACACTTGACGAGACTCCTATATATTGATCAGGTAGACAAATATTTTCTTCTTGTATATCAAAGTCCATAAAACAATACAAAATAGGAACAGAGCAAAAACGGACCTCCGAAACATCAGAAGTGGGATCAGGTGCCATAGAGGAGTGAGCATCCCCTGATGACTGGTCACACCCGCCGTGTGCTCCGTGTCATGATCGGGAAATAACGGGAAAATCCGTCGTTAATTCAATGTATAAATAATGGACTAACAATTAGTATGAAAAACGTCAGTCAGCATTTGACTTAATGATAAATTGTATTTGCTAACAATGTATCGATCATAGAACTTACGAAATAATGACTTTAAACGAGACTGCTGATATTCTTGTTTCATCAACTTGCTTGTCAATAATTTACCTCGTTTTAGAAATGGTATAAAATGTGTCAGGCATATGGATGCAGACATATTCAATGAATACCTGGATATGGCGTTTTTATCTTTTAATCAATACGCATAAAATGATATGTTCTGTGTTCAGTCAAGGCAAAACAAATTAGGTAGTTTACAAATTATGTTATCAGTGGTATAAACAGTTCTGTTTGATGTTCGAATTTCCCAGTTCTATATTTCTACAATTAAAAAAGTATGGACTCAATGATAGGTTGGTATATTTGCTGAGGTCATATAGCAGGGTATATTGCTACTAAATAAATTGACGATAGAAAGGTTGAAGTCATCAGGTTATCATAAATCTTGGTTGCTAGAGTTTACCATTAGCGTCTTTTTCTACAAACAGATTTGTTAGACTATGTGGTATCTTTTATTTCAAGATCACTGGGATATATCGAGTTCACATGAGAATGAAATTTACTATTGTTCATTGATAATAAGTCGTTGATAGATTTAAAAATCGAGTTGGAGGCCACAGCAAATGTTTTTTTTCCTTCGCTTGTATAAGATTTTGAATACATTCTGCGTCATACGAATACAAAAATGGGTCTGTTTACAACGGGGTGCAAATGGTATCCATGAAAATTCCAACTGATAGTTGAAAGTCCTGATCACAAAGATTTATTTATAAATGGTCAATCAGAAACTCAAGCATCTTTTTTATATTAATTTGAGAATACCTTTGTTTAACAATTGAATGTTTTTAACGAAATAATTTTGCAATTGATAATGACAAGGAAAGTTAATTAACGAGTTCTATTTTTATTGAAAAAAAACTTCAATTTAGTGGATTGGTTATTAGATAGAGTATTTCAATGTCACAAGAGCCGAACATAAAAAAAAATGACCAATGTGTTCAGGTTTTCATATCCTTCAAACTAATTTCAAAATAGATAAAAGCAAGGTAAATGTAATATACTCAGTAATGTAGTTTTCTGTTTTCTTCTTTGGCACCGGACCCTACGTCTTGTGCTTATAGGGGTCCGTATCTTTGACTTGTTTAGGTTTTTTACAGGCTACAGGGTTTTTGAGATTTGATTTAAGCTCGTTATTTTTACGAGTTGATGGTATCAACTCATGTTATGTTACTGGTTAGGGATTCCCCATCACATTTTCGTTTGAGTATTTTGCGTACAGGTTCTTGTATGATATTGGCTTATTTACAATATTCATGATTTACAGAATAAGAATATCTTTCCTGATATGCTTTGAAGTGTTTATAAACTTAAATATTTATCATCTATTTTCCTGGTATTTTTGTCAATCCGCGAGAGAATGTTAAATGTCGTGCAAATAAAGTTTTGATTTTTAAATCAATAAATATTTTCTATTATAAGTCAGTAATTTGAAAATAGATTTTAAAAGAAAATTTACAAAATTAAATATTGTACACACCAGGTTATTTTTACAAGACTGACGTGTTAGTGCATGGTATATAAATAAACTAATCCTTGCGCTGATCCAGTATGCTAATGACCAGTGCAATTTTCCCGCGATAACTAGTGATGAAGTGTTTACATATATAGAACACTACTTATGTTTGTAAACAAAGCGAGAAACACCTAGTAAAGATGGTCGAAGTAAATCAAATATTAATCTTAACGGGAAGAAATGAGCTGTACCAGTTGATAAAATATTTTTTATGTAAATGCCATTACTTCTTGTAACAATAAAAGAACCACTGTCTTCCACAATTTAGATCTGTATCACAGCAAGCTTTAAATACAGTAAAGGTCACTTAACACGCCTGCGATTCTACTACTCTGGAAAGAGAGTGCCTTTACTATCTATATCCAGCTGTGTCTTACTATCAGATGCTGGCAATGTGATACAGTGAATTTAAAGTACAGAAGACAGTAAAAAATAATAACAAAAATAAAATTACAAAAAGATTAAATCGGGTGTTATTCATAAATAAAATGAGAAATGTTTGTTTATAAATGTGAATCAAGAGACTGAAAAATCAAATATATTCAAAAGTAAATAGATTATGTAAACGATTAATATACCATGCCATTGTGATAAAGTTTTAGTCTTCAGTCAAAAAAGCCAAAAAGAATTGAAATATAAATAAATTTATCAATGAAAGTCATGTAGTTGAATTTCAAGTGAGCTAAATTGAAAGAAATGTAATATTACATGCGCAAATCAATTAATTGAAGTCAGGTAGATATATTTCAAGAGTGTCTAACACAAACGAAAGAACATAAAATTAAAATGTTCATTTCAATTAAAAGTCAAAAAGCGTTGAATTTTAAGACCAGCTAAATCGGGAGAACTGGAGTATTTATTTTGCATATCAAAGATCATACAAGACAAGGAGTTGAATTTTACGAGTGGCTAAAGCAAGAAAATATCAAATATACATGCAAATTTTGAAAGACGTGGAGCTGAATTTCAACAACCATAGTGAACAAATCAAGAATTTTGAATTTTGTGATATGCATATTAATGAAAATAGAGGATTTGAAATATAAGAGTGGCTCAGTCACGGGAAATGAAACATATTTATGTGCACTGAAAATGTCAAATTATTTGTCAATTTATGAAAATAGTGAAAATATTTGATGTGCATATTAATGTGCATATTAATGATTTTATTCATTTGCGCTCTTTGTAAGTTATAATTCCCTATTTTAATATTGTTGAAGGTTGGTCCTTTTACTTTGAAATATTTGTGTGAAAAGCTGCTTTATTTATTTTTTCATCACAGCACATAACACATATAACCGAAATATGGATCAGTGACCTCAACTCATTTTAACATAATGTGTGGCGCAGTAGTTAGAGCGTCTGCTCTAGAGTTGCGAAGTAAGTAGTTGATCCTTACATCGTGCGTTCTAATCCCACTATGGGACGTGGCGACCGGTCCCTCAGATGAGACCGTATAAATCGAGGTCCTGTGTCGCAGTATGTGCTGGCACGAAAAAAGATTCATCACTGACCAATGGACGTAAAGTGCCGAGAATAGGGCAAAATTTGCAGCTCTACACTGGCAAGTGGTGATGCGTAGTCATATGAGTAAAAATTCTCGAGAGGGATGTTAAACAACAAACGAACAATACCATCAACTCGTAGCAGTACTTTTAGTACTTTGATTACTTCTAACATTTACTGCCTTGTAAAACTTACTGTTGTTTCCACTGGTTCGCCATCAATCCAAACATGCAGGTTATCACGGGCTAAAAAAGAAATATATAATTTAAGTATAAGAAGCGACCTATGTCACATAAAATCATATGATTTCAATTTTAGTCTGGTAGTGGTTCGCTGGTCTGAAAGAAATTGAAATGGACGATCATAGAGCTACAGTGCCACCCACTGAAAAATGTGTAATTTATTGCGCACAAAAAAGTACGCGGTTTCTTGATTTTTTTTTTCTCCAAATACAAGTATATCAAAATATTGCATGTACTACCCGTGTGTTCCTAACAAAGTCTTTACAAATTCCACCCCAAAAAACGGTACGTAAAATTTATGTACTAAGTACGATGAACCGAATTGTCTTGCCACCCAAGATGGCAGTATAGGTAGGCGAAGTTTTCGATGGTTTTAATATCAGACCTAGCAGCGCTATTAACAACAGTTTTACGAAATGTTTTATTGCAAAGGCAGTGAAAAAATATGTTCGGGACACACGGTTTGTAATATTTTGAGATGGTAATCTAAATATTTGGAGAGATGAATCGAAAAACAAAAAAAATATACAATTTTTTAATAGGTGGCACTGTACTGGTCTTCCATCCAGTTGTTTTCAGACCAGCGAGCTACTATCTGCAGCTATAAAAACATGAACCTCAAAATCATTTTGCACAAAAAGAATTGGACATTTAGCGAGAAAATGAATTCGTACAATTAGCTAGAAAATGAATTCGTACATTCCAAGAACTATTTATGATTATTTGAGAAGAGCAAGTGATCTCTGAACTATAATTTATGTTTCGCCTAATTGAATAAGATTTGTAGAGAAAATAAAAGAGTCCATACATACAAAATGAAATCTTGTATTCCTTGCCGTCGATTTCTATTTCCCAACCGGTTGTCAGCTTAGCGATACCATCTTGTGCAAGCTTTCCGGCTTTTCTGTAAGTAGAAGTTATTAGTACTTTCTTAATATGCAAAATTTCAAAGAAGATTCCAAATAATTACAAATCAAAAGCATCATCTGGATATTTTAAAAATTATAATCAAGTTTAGTATATGGTTAAAAAAAGTGTCGTGATATTTCTTTACATGAAAATAAGGAAATCAAATCATATTCGTCATTGCACACAGTTATTTTAAGTGAAGCCTTAGCAATGAAGTAAAGGACACAAAAAAACATTAAAACAAGTCCCTTTAAAAGATCAATGTCAGTTTTCAAGGTATCAAGGATTAGACTTCATTGCCTAAAATGTACATTTTCCTGTCTTATTAACGTTGATTTAAAGAATGCAATAATTGTAAGGAGATTTTAAAATCCAAGAAACAAATTTGCTATAAATAAGAAATATTTTCTATAGGAAACCAAGCTTAGATTTTCTCGAAAAAATGTTTTTCCAAGGGGCACTGCTTATTTCATGTGATCTATTTGAAAATGTTAATTATAAGGAATCAAAAATAGTTAAATTAAAAATACGTTTAAAAAAATCAATATCTGTGGTTCGTTTTTAAAGTGACATGATAGTTCGTTATTTAAAGTACTCATCTCAATATTTTTTTTTAACGTAAAATTCTGTTTACACTTTTCTAGTTTTGAATGTGTTAATATTAGTTAACAACTTCTAACAAAGAGCATCAAACATTTTAATTCTAAGTGAAAAATATAATTAACAGTTATCCGTATATGGTGATAACGAAGAGTAATAAAGCTCCAAAGTCCATTAAACAATACAGAATTGAAGCAGAGCAAACATGGACCTCCAAAACATCAGAGGTTTGTCATCTGTCGACTATTCAGTATGCCAATGCATGTACGTAATGGCCTAACAAATAGTCGGATAGTATAAACAACATGTCAGCATTTGACTCAATGATAAATTGTATTTGCTGACAAGGTAGTTGATTTGACCATAGAACTTATGTGACTTTAAACGAGACTGTTGAAATTTTAGTTTCATCAACTTCTTTGTCAATAATTTACCTCGTTTTAGATATTTTACATACGTAGAGCATGCTCTTTCGTATCTAATCAACTGAGGGCTATAAACTCTGTATGCAGGTCATGAAGGTATATTGCTGCATTAGTAAGGGAAGTTGACGATTGAGAAGTTGAAATCATCACGTTTATCATAAAGCTTGGTTGATTGATTACCATTAACTTTTTTTTATTTCAAGTAAAATTTCCAAATTTGAAACAGATTTTTCAAACTCTGTGGTATCTTTTATTTCAAGCTGACCGGGATGTATCGTAATAACATATGAACGGAAATAACAATTTTAATTGACAATACGTCGTCGATTTATCTAATTGCTGAGTTGAAGGCCGCAGAAAGTGTTTTCTTCTTTTCACGTATAAGATTTTGCACAAATTCTCCTTCACATGAATACAAAAATAGGTCTTCTAATAAGAGTAATCACGGGAATTTCAATAGATTATTGGAAGACCTCGTCTGCAAAAACCACATTGATACTGTTAATTAGACACGTGCATCTTTTTAATATCAACTTCAGAGTACTTCTATGTACAATTGGAAAGTTATTTTGCAAATGACCAATGACAAGGTGAGTAAATTTACGAGTTCAAATTTCATTGAAAAAGCAGCTGTCGGTAATATCAAAAAGCCTAGACTTCAATTTGTCGTGAAGAATGATTGTGTATGAAGTTGAAAACTTGTAAGATTTTAAGATGTTGATTTTGTTAAAGTCTCTCCAAAAGCTCCTTTGGATTTTTAAGTATCCACATCTGATTTACACCACTTCTCAAATATATTTTTGCACAGTACTCCTGACTGAAGTTTCTCCTTCACTACTGTTAACATTTAACAGTAGAGTAAAGAAAGAGGACTGGTAGAACAATAGCTGGAACCCACTAAAAACACACAAACAACACATCTCTTTAGATAGAGCATAGAATATGGACATCGAAACTTTCAGAGGTGGGATAAACTGCCTAAGATGAGAAACCATCCCCTTTCTACCGTCCACGCCCATTGTAAGTTCTATCCTTTGGTCAGATAGTCGGATCATTCGGTAGTTTAAAATATTTCCATTTTAAGGGGTCTTTTAAAAATCAGATTAAAATTGTAAAAAGAATGTTACTGTATTTTTTGATCGGTTTTCAGATTTTTTAATCAGGTTTAATGTTTAATCCATTACATAATTTGTTATATTCAGTACAGCACATCTAGTTTTAGTAGTTTTAAAACAAAGTACACACAAATATATTGATAAAGTACCCTGACCATACTGTATTTGACTTCAATCATTGATTTCTTCCAATAGAATAAAGTTTAACTTTCCACAAGCCAAATCGATTGATCTCTGGTAATAATGACCCATTGGTTACGACTTGTCCACAACATCCATTAAATACTTCACTCAAATTTCAAGAACGGTAATTAGTTTATACAAATAAAGTAAACTTTATAAATATTTTCCGTACGAGATCGATGTCTCAAGAGGCTTTGTCGCGAATGTTTGAATGTGGTATTGGAGAGTAATCCTTTTGAAAATGGATTGATTTTAATGGTTTCACAGCAAGAAAAATGGCATAGAGAAAAGTGCTTTGGCTTTCAATGTAAAGTTTCTTCAATTTTTTTGGTAAAACAAATGTTAGTTTTAGATAATAGGTACACTGACGAGTCTGGGAAACATTTTATGACTGGAGTAAGTCGATGTTTTAATTGTTTATACCGAAATTGCTTTCTATTAGAAGTCTGCATTCAAAAGATAGCTGGCTTTGTCGTGAATATGTATTGAATCATTCTCTACGACAACTCATCTTTTTTAATTATTGAGTCTCTCATCTTCCTTATTGATCGAATTGTTTTCAAAAACACAAAAAGCGCTAACTGATAATCCAAAGATGGAACTAATTCTTGCGATTAAAAATAGTCTTTAAATTCCTGTTTTTCTCTTGTTTTCATTCTATTATTTATTTATTCATTTATTTATTATGTTGTTTTTTTTTTGGTTCCCCCTCCCCCTCTTAAATATCGTTCGTTTAGCCTTACAGTTCATTAACACAGGCTTGTATTGTTGATGTTATCCCCATCATTTCTTTTACCCTTACAATTCATTGTAATACATTCATTTCATTTTTGGAAAACAGTTGGATTGTTATAATATTTCAACCTTTCACTTTAAACATATATATTTTATCTTATTTACGATGTGAAGATAAAATTGATTTACCATTCAAGAGTGAATTTCTATTGGGAGTATGAATATATAATGTTCAACCATTATTACCATGGCTTTTAAGGAACACATAAAATTCTCATTAAAAAGTAACTTTACATACGCCTCTTGTAAATATTTACCATCAATTTACGTTCCTTTCTGGTTAATGAATTCTTGTCCTAATTACATTGCTTTGTAACAGATTCAAACATATATTGAGAATGATGGCAAATTATCATCCAGATGCGTTACTCTTGCAGTATCATCCTCAACTGTGTATATTATGATTCTCTTTTTCTTTTAAAGGAGATGTTGGAAATTTTGAATTTCCTAGAATTAATATATACGAAAAAGACACTTGCGGCATACATTGCTAAATACTGGCCAGTGTGTATATCTTTATAATTTTTAGTGGATAAGAACACTTTTATCTGTTTTCCTATTAAAAACTGTTACTATATTTTGTCTTTAGAAGTATAAATAGATGTAAAACTTGCAATTCTATTGTATCTTTATTTTTGTAAAACTCGATCGAGTGTAAGAAGCTTACCTGATGATTTTTTTCTTCTTCGACATATCCCGATTAGCGATGTTCTTCTTACAAGACGTAAGAATTACAGACATTTTGATATCTGAGAAAGACACCGAATGTCGGAGTTAAATCGAGATTGCTTTAATCAAAAACCACTTCAAAAATAGCCAAGACCAATCAACAGCGTTAACATCCGAGTCTCCCTATTGATGGGGAACCACTTGATTTAATAAAGGTTTTATAAGGAAGTAAAGCCCGTGAGTGGAGACGATAGGTTCTCTCCAGGTAGCCTACTAGAACAATATCAAATCCTCAACTTCAGCAAACCGGTCCGGTAGAAAAAAATTGATTTCCAGGTGTACAATGAGCTAATTTCAACAGTGGCTCCGCTATCCAATATCGGAGCTCCCCGTGAAAGCGACGCTGACACTACAGTTTATTAGAAAATTGGAATTCATAACATGTCGATTAGCAAGTGATGGCGCGATTAATTTTTTTTTGAGAGATTTGATAAATATAAAAGATATATCTTGTTACCTTTCGAATACATTCGAGGATTTTTCGTCGCCAATGAAGTTATATCGATCGCAATCCAATATAAAGCAATGTGGATCCCGGCTTGCAAGTTGAATAATTCGCCAAAGAAAAAAAAACTAATTCTTAATCTCTTGTAATTGATCAATATACTATGATTATTTAAAAAGGTTTTTTTTTTTAAAATATAATCTTTCACTTGAAATTTGACCGAGTTATGAATAAAAGTTGATGTTAAAGAATACTGCTTTACCTTCATGGTTTCTTCATTTCAATCTCTCTTAACAATGACGCACACATTTGAATATTAATAGTCAGAATAATGTTCTGTAAATTGTATCTAGTAAGATGTACACACTTAGCTACGAATCTTCATTTCAAGAACTTAATTCCTTTATTGATTTTCCGATCATGACAAGGAACTATACAGCAAACTACATAGTTATCTGTCGGAAGAGGGTGCTCACTCCTCCATGGCACCTGATCCCATCAATGTTTTTGGATGATTTTGATTGCTCTGCTCCAGATTTGTATTGTTTTAAATGGAGTTTGAGCTTGAATAGTATTCGTTATCGTTCCTTTTAAAAATAACTATTAAATCATAAAATATACCTTTTCCTCATAAGTGTACAATTGAAATACATGTTTAAAAATTACAATTTGTTGAAATGATTCATTGAGTTTTAGATACCGTTAGCAGAATTTTTCTTAATGTATGCATAAAAGGTATTAAAGTCGTACGTTTTGATGTTACTGTCCTTTTTGATTTGGCGATTTTAAATATTCTAATGGTCTTTGAAAAATCCACATCTGATTTACGCTATTTAAGAATTTGTCGAACAGTACGTCTGGAGTTTCTCCTAAAAAGAAGTTAATAGTTTTTTGGGGGGTTTTTCGTGAGGGGAGTGGCCAATTTAAGCAATTGTTTGACCCTGCAATATATTTCAGACTTTAAGGATTTTCTGACGTTTTGGAACCCAACGTAGGTAGGGTAGATCGAACTCACTCTGGTTTACGGGAATATACTGCAATGTTATTTTGAAGAATTTCATCTTTAGAAAGAGAAACGCGAGTACAAGTTGGATGCTTTAAAGATTAAATTAAATCTAAAATCTTCTTTTAAAAAAGACAGATGCAATAATGATTCCTGCAAAGAAAGCCGATATTTATAAGCCTCATCGGCTGGAAACATGTCAATGTTTTAAAGTCTTTTTAATTCTTTGATCACCACCGTTTTAGCCATATGGAATGATATTTGTTTCGCATTTTTTACGATTTTAAATATATTTCTTTAAAAATACAATCCATTCTGACAATGTTCAATTCATATTTTTCGTATTTAGGAGTAGGTCTAACGTCTACCATAATATTCGACAGAATTCAGGAAGTTTTCTCGCCACTTGAAAGATCCGAGCTCCCATTAGTAAGAGTCTTTGAAAATAATCATCGTAAGGACAGATGATATGTATTTTTTTTTCTTTGGAGGAGACTTGATATCATCTCACAGGCTTAGAAAAGGGAATAATTCTTTGATTTTTTTTTTCTCTTTAGTCTTGGAAAATGAAATAGATTTGGAAAATATCAGGTAATACTTCAATAAAAGAACAAATATGGATCAATCATATTTAGGAAAGGTTTACAGAAGAAAACAAATTTCAGAATGTTAGCTTAGTGCTAAAAGTGAAATATATACTTTTTAACAATATACCAAGCCAGGTAAATTTTATGAGGACATTCAAAATGGTGAAATCAGAAAAATCAACTAGGCCGATTTTTACCATTTTGCTTTTCTTCATAAAATTCACCTCAGTAGCTTACTGGTCTGAAATATTACATTGGCTAATATCATGGTTTATTGTCCTATATTGGGATTTTTTATGAATGAGTTACCAATATTATCTCCAGACTGGAGTTGAATTTGATTACTGATCACAAAAAAATATTTTAATACTTTTCCTATTGACTGTCTATACAAAGAAGAAAGTAGTTTTTAACAAATGAATGATTGATTCTACAGCTGTATAGCGCGTATGAATATTTATTACATGAACCAGCCCGTGTGTTCTAAATGAGAGACCCTTTTATTATTATTGAAGTTGGGATTGTTTCAATGTTCTTAAAAATTGCAATTATATTTAAAACACTCAACTTTTCCTGGTTAAAAATATTGATATATTTCACAGTAATTGATGGACAATTTTCATATTCAATAGTTACACATACTCAAGTGAATTTCTCATGTTGCATTATTTATGTAAAAACCGTGTTGACGCTGTTAATGGGAAATACTCTGGATGGTATAGTAATTCGATAATAAGATCCAGTGCTGTATCTAAATTCTCAATTTCTCTTCGAACTAGGCCATGAATTATTAGATGAACAGATCTTTTTTAGTCTAGATAGCACACATCAGTTCGTGCACGTACCATACGTGTAATATATGGAGGAAGGGGCAGTCCGTTCCCCATTTTCAAAGTATTGAATATGTACACCTCTCCATCAACCAAATACAATTTAATTTTTTTTACCTTTTCGCTCAAGTAAAGTGTCAATTATTGTTTGGTTTGCCTCTTTCAAAAACAAAACTACTTGCCTGCAGTTGTTTGAATTATATCGTATAGTTATTGCATTTGAAATCAATATATTCCCTGTTGTATTCAATTTATACTTTTTATATTTTTAACTCACTTGCAGCTATAACTTGAGATATTATGTACTGTATTCAATAATCCAAAACTAAATAAATTAGGTAGATTACATGATCAACTTACGTACTAGTCCATGCTGACAAAGCAAGTAACAACACTGTTTTTGTTTGTAAGGCTCATTGTATAAAATGTATTTTACATGAACGTAGATTTTATTCTTCAAGTAGAAACCAAACTTATACTCATTTCTCCCATTCTAAGGAAGAAATTCTTCAGAATCATGTGTCAGTTATGAATATTTTAATATCCCAAAAACCAAAATGAATTTGAATTATCATATCTATATTGGATACCGAGACTTCATAAAAATCTTTCCAACAAAAGGTGCATAGCGGGTTCCAGTAGATGTTCAACCAAACCTCTTTTTTTACTCCTCATCAAGATGTTAACAGAGTGAAGGGGAAACTTCAAGAGTATAGTTCAACAATTTATTCGAAAAATGGTGTAAATCAAATTTGGATACTAAAAAATTCCAAGAAACTTTTGGAACATTGAAATCAATAATTTTACCGAGATCGACAACATAAAATTTATGACTTTTCAACTTTATATACAATTATTCCCCATGATAGATTATCATTGACAGCATTATCAATTTCAAAAAAAAAAACTTAAATTTACTTTCATTGTCATTGGATATTCGTAAAATTATTCTCTTAAAAAACAATCTGATTGTGCACATAGGCAATCTAAAGTTGATATTAAAAGGATGCTCTTCCAAAAATCTATTGGAATTCCATTTTGAACTAACTGAGCCCCGTTATTAGCTGACCTATTCCTAGATTCATGTCAAGCAAATTTTGTTCAAAATCTTTTACGTGAAAAGAAGAAAACATGTACATTTGCTGTGGCCTTCAACTCGACATTTAGATATATCGACGAGGTACTGTCAATTAACAATATTCATTTCTATGTCTGATGTCGACACGATATATCCCAGTGAGCTTGAGATAAAAGATAGATACCATAGGGTGCGACATCTGTTTCATACGAGGGGCGTTCAATAAATAATGTCATCGGGGCTCGGAAAGAACCAGAAAACGCTTTTCTATGATTTTGTCTTAATGATTTAACTAAAATATTCTCTTTTAATTAAAACACATCTCCGTAACATTTTTATTCAATTTCTAATTGTTTTTAGAACACAGTTTTGAGTATGACCCTTCATATACTGGACAATGGCAGATCCTATGATTTGCTGTACTTGTTTTATTCTTTCTGAAAGGTGTTTTCCTAAGTTTGGGAAATGAAACAAGTCAAAGATTGAAAGGTCTGGCGAATATTGTTGATGTGACAAAACATTACATTTCTTTTTATCCCAAAACTCTTTTACTCTTCATGGCCTGTGGGTTTGGACGCTGTAAGGAAGAAATTTAATGTAGCGAATTCCTCATTCTGTTTCCTTCCTCTCGTAAACATTTCAATTTTTTGGCAAATATTTTGCTTACTAGACTCCTCCAGAAATTGAACTGCCTCCCTATATATGAATTTGAACAACAAGACTGCTAATATTTAACAAAATAGCGAATAAAACTGTTTTTGTGTTCTTGCAAATTATTGCTCTTCTTAGGCCTTTGCAGTTTTGTCAAGTACATTTTATTCTAAATTTGTTTTGAGGGTTTAACGCAAAATGGATTCAAGTTTCATGATCTGTTTGAATTTCAGAAAAACGTGGATAAGAACAATTTTTGAATTTTTAAAATTAATTGTTGAGATTTTCTACACGCTCTCGTTTCACTCATTTTTAAAAATATAGGGTGATTTTTGAGTATTAAAATTTTTTACAATCAAATGTTTCTTTAAAACAGTGTAAACTACTCCCAAAATGATGTCTATCAAATTTGCTATGTAACTTAACGTCAATAAAACATAATCAGTGATAATTTGAGGGATTATCGCTAATATACATTGGTTGTTGTATGTACTTGTTGACAAGGACGGTACCCATTATTGATGCCCATTATATAATTTTTGTTAATTTATATCCACCTGTTTATGTGTGTATAAAACAGACATAAGTTGCTGTAAATTTCACTTATTTCAGTTCATAGATTTTTTGGAAATTAACAAGTTTTACAGCAG